GCTCGGAAGTCGCATCTACTGCGTCATCCGCCGACCAAGCGGGGCGGGGCGTCTGATACTACAGAATGCGTACAACGTCGCGATCCGGCGGGCCGTCATGTGCAGGTAGGCAAGGTAAAGTGAAGTAACGTATGTATGCACTTTACATATAGGCATGTGGTGAAAGGGTAGGTAGGACTGATCTCACATCCCACATCTCACATCTCACATCTCACGATGTGGGATCAACGGACCCGGAGCCCCGGAGGGAGGGCAATCTGCATCTTGCAGCGAGCGATGTTACTCGGCCTCGAAAGCGACGGGAGCTTCACATATGACATGGATAGTCTGACAGGACTGACTCTTTGACAGGTCATAGGCGCCGGCGGCTAAAGAAGACGGACGGGTGATGGGCACGCGCGAGGTGGCGCAAGTCAACTATCAAGCGACGGATAGGTCGTGTGCCCGGTCTTCAACCCAGGTAATCCATAGCATTCCCAGCATAAGGCAGATCAGGATGAGGATCTCCGCGAAGAAGAGGATGCCCGTCAGCCACGAGCGGGCGCCCGTAAGGCGAGCCATAGCCAATGACCCTGAGGTTAAAACTGCCCGAGGGACCTCTTAACTGGAGTCATAGGAGGCCGCGGGAAATCCCATTGACGGCGTCAACGCATCCTTGAATACGTTTGGTGCCTAGGCACCCTGGACCGGCGATGGGCGATGTATGATGTGGTAGCTCATAAACATGGGAAAGGAGGGGAGGGAATGGGCTGCTGCGTTTGGATGGCAGGAGAGTCATGTTGCTTCTCCTGTATCATGAAGACATCAATCCCTAGTTGAGATCGAAAAAGAGGGGGGATGAGTGGGTGGATGGATGGACAGTAGCAGAGAAAGTCGCTGCGTGTCAAATGAATACCGGCTAGTTTGCCCTCATCCCGTGGTCCGACACGCCTAATCGTGCGAATAGACGCTTTAGGTTGAGGGAAAGGTAGACCTGAGCAGACCGGGCACTCGGATACAGCTCCATGTTACCTGTCCGAAATTCCGTCCGGCGGTTCCAGCACCAACAACGCTTCTTCACAAACCTTTTGATTCAGCCGTCAAGTTGCAAAGGCCGAAGCGTAGCTCTGAGCTGCGTTAGTCTCGACTCCTCACAGTTCTGGATGGGCCCGGAACGTGGGAATGATGGAGACAAGCCAGAGGGTCTAGATGCCAGATGAGTTCCGGGTTCATGGGATATCCATCGACTTCTAAACGACCCAGACAAAAAGCCCCTATATATCCTTCAAAAGTCAGACCAGGGTAGAACCTTGATGCAAGCCATGGCATGCCTGCATTGAATAATAGGAAACATGGGAGAGTCTCGCGAAATGGGGAAATGCAGAATTGGGGGAAAGAAACTGGATAACTGGACGTTTGGGGGAGCTTTCCTTGCGCTTTGATCCTGTGCCTCTGCTGCAAGTTGCAGAATAAGGGAGGACTTGGATCAGCTTTCTGGGATGAAGCTCTGCATTGGCAAAGGAAAAAGGTCGGGCGGGCCTGAATGCAACTTGTGCCCTTCCCCCCTCTAATGCCACAGCTCCCTCCCTTTCCTACAATACCTCAGCTGAATATGCCCTTGATCAGTTGAACACAGCGTGCATGCGCTTCTCTGCCGTGCTTCTTCTGTGCTTCTGCTGCCACGCCTTTGTCGCTCTCTCTCTCTCTCCTCTCTATGCCTTCACGGTCTCTACTAACGCGTCCCATGTGCTCTGATGTCCGGACTTGACTCCGCACTAGCGTTTGACGCTAGAACTGAACACAACCGAGCGGACAACGGTTCTGGCTCGAGTCAAGAGCATGGGAACCCCGGGGGCGCCGGCTGTTCCCCAATTTCTTAGTCACAAGTACGTTAGTAGGTCCTTTTGCTCTCACCAAGGGGCGCCGAAAGTCGATCACAGAAGCTGCAAAGTGGGCGGCGTGGGAGGGAGAGCCGACGCCAGGGTCGGCCCCTGTGTCGGGAGCTAATCGACGTGTTCCGCAACGGAGTCCGTCGCCGATCGTGGAGAGCCAAATCCTCCGAAAGTTCATGTTCCGACTGGACTCTGGCTAGATCCCGGGAAACATACTTCATGTCTCACAGAACTGAGAGGTCTTGGCCCTGGCGAGTTCTGGCCAAGGGGGGCTTGGGGGCCACGGCGCCCAGTATAGTGTCTTGTCTTGTCAGCTCGACACCACTCCTATCCCTTTCATTCGGTGATTTATTTTGCCTTTCCCAACACACAACCCACAAAGGGGGGTGGGTGGGATGGAGGCGGTAGACGCGGGCAAAGAGAGTCCAGAGCATTGGCGTTGCTGATTGAGGTGAAGCTCTGGGTTAATGCCGGCCAAAGTTTGCAAAGGAGGGAGGATGCCAAACACTTGAAGCCAACACCACAATGTGACCGGTGCCAACCACGCGACTAGGACGGCTTCCCAGGACCAAGGAAGCTCAGCCAGTCCGTCAAAGGAGAATCCGAGGACAACGGCCCTGCTATTGCTCCTGCAGCAAGTGCTGCGACAGATGCTACAGCTTTCTTGGCAGCCCGCCGCTGACCGCTGCTGCTCGGAGCCCGAAAGGGAACATCCTCTAGAATGGCTCAGATACCACCTGGGCACGTTTTCGAAACCAGGGACCGGCCGGTCAGGCATCCGTCTGATGTCGCGATGCATTTCATGCTGCCCTCATGATTCGTGTTGCGACGGTGGGCGAACGTGCACCTGGGATCCGCGCCACCACACACACCTCTCTCTCTGCTTGGCCAGTGAACACCTTTCCATATGAAGTAGTTGACCGCCGCTTCGTGTGGTTGGTAAGAGGGAGGCAGAGGTAAGGCGAGAGAGCTCTGGTTTCTGCTTGTCACTCAGATCAAGCTTATCGAAAGTTACTGTTATTGCTGTCGCTGCTGCTTTTCCGGCGCGCGCGCAAACGAGCTCCTCTTTCAGTCGTTCTTTTGTCTTACTTTCCCTTCCCTTCTCCCGATCCTCCGTTTACTTACGAAGCCTTACTCTTTGAAAGAGACATTAAGTAGAGCTGCCTCAATGCAGTCAGGAAGCAACGAGCCAGCCGCTGCGGCGGCGGCTGCTGCTGATATCACCAGCGACAACGAAGGCGAGCAAATAACATCCTCAAAGGCAAGCTTCGAAGACGCGCCGCAAGAACAGCCACCCAGCACCTCGAACTCGGGCAAAAGCCATCCGTCCGAAGACAGAGCTCCAAGCGAGGACGCCGGAAGAGACAACGGCAGCAAACCCACTTCACAAAAGGTTCCGAGCAGACAACCATCCGTCGAGGGAACCCGGGCAGCAGTCGTCGCAGGATCATCATCGCAACAGGGAAGCCGAGCCGGATCCCAGCAGGGCAGCAGGAGGGGTTCCAACGAAGCGGCCGTGGCCGGCGGCGGCGGTACAGCCGACGCCCCGACCGCTGCATCGGACGCGGCGATCGCCAGGGAGCGCGCGCCCGGCGACGAGAACCGTGAGGCATTCCGCGACTCCACGATCACGGCCGTCAGCGAGAGCACGGCGCAGATGCTCGGTCGAGACGGCGTGCCAAAGACCACGACTGATCCGGCGGCGGCAGGAGTCCTTGCGGGAACGGGCGAGACCCCCGGCGACGACGACGAGCTCGAGCCCCTGACAAAGTACGTCGACTGGACGGAACACATCTCCATCTCCATCGGCCCGTTTGTCATTCTCTTCTTTGATCTCGCGCTGCCGGTCTGCATCTACTACAGTTGGCTTCGCGCCCGACGAAACGATCGTCGCGCCGCGTGTCAGTCTGCCTACGACGCGGGCGTGGAATGCGGACTCCCTCCCGTCCAGACGGTTGAGAGTAGAATTCTCGGTTTTGCCATTATTGCTTTCGGTTTCGGAGAAGTGTACATCCTCATTGTGCGAGTATATCGACTCATCGCCCGCTTCGACGAGTGCGCGCCGCTGCTGTCCAAGCACTGGTGGGAGCTGGACGCTACGACCTGGGTTTATGCGCTCGGTCTGATTGCCGCCTTGGTCCCCTTTGTCTGCTCAACCACAGTTTACGAGCCGGACGTTGTCGAGTGGCTGTACCTTTACTCTCCCGCCTTCATGTTCATGGTCCTGGACGTCATTGCCTTTGCGACGTTGATCCCAATCAAGATCCCGTTCCGTATCAACTCGGACCCCAAAGGCACACGTCTCAAGCCCATCGTCTACTATGCCGCCGAAGACTTCTTCGCCGTCGACGGAGCGCAGAACAGGGAGTTCCGCAAAAGATATGTCGAGCGGTACGACAAGTCGATGATGTTCCGCAAGATGATTCTTGAGTTGACGCTCTTCTGGATCGGCGGCTGCACGGCGTACATTGGCTACGTGGCCGGCATCATTTGGAACCTGGAGTTTGAACGCGCGTTTGGCACGACATTGGGCGTCTTGTTTGGATGGATTATAATCTGGGGTGTCACTGCGAGATTTTGGATCGAGTACGCGATCAAGCGCGAGCAAAAGTGGTGGAAAGAGAACAAGGCCGAAAGAAACGCGGCCAAGCTTCAATGAGCCTAGTGTTTAATCACAGTTGAGCCCTCCCTGGTGTGTGCGAGAGAGAGAGTGAGGGAGACAGACGGAAGAGAAGCAGTCAGATGGTGGCGAAGAGATAGGGGAAAGGGAGTGGCTCATTACTGTAACCTAGTGTTAATAATGGCACTGCCAAGATCATGTACTTATGGAGGACGCATGGGTTCTGACTGACAAGACAAGGCACGAGAGCCTGGATACCCAGGAAAAGAAAGATACCGAGAGGGCGGATTTTTGCGATTAATAAGTAAATCATTTCTTGCTTCTAGACATTGCTCAGTGGTCTCATCAGTTTTATAAGGGTATGATCTGATTAGATCTCAGCATGGAAGTACACGATAAGTGATCTGAATAGAATCAACTCAACATCTACCGACACGAGATGGCATCCATCCATCAACGGCGCTCATTTCAACTACAAAGTGAGCGAAATGGCAAAGTTAACAGGTCTCCTACCTCGAAACAGCGAAGGGCGGCCTTCCTGGAAAGCCAAGCCTGGCCCAGGCTCCCAAGTTCGTGGCAGCATGGGCCGCAAGACGCACAGCGGAAGAGAGTTTTGGGACCCGGGGGCGAGTAACTTCTGTGAATGTGTGAGAGAAAGATGGTGTGGTGTCTCGTGGGATGTCGCGCTGTGATCGAGGCAGCTCGAGGCCCGCGGGACGGCGGTCGGGTCCCCCATTTCTGATTTTCTGGGGGAAGCTCTGGACTCCCGTTCGAATGAGGCGAAGAAGAATCAAGGAGGAAACCATCTCGCAACCATTGGCGGGTACGTACTGGAGTTGTGAATGTTTCGTGGTGGCGTTGCACAAAATGGAGTTGTGCATTTTATGTAACTCCTCTGCAGCGCGCCTACGTTTCTCATCATGAAAAATCCATGTTTCTAAACGTCTCATTCATCTGTGTTGGTATTGGGGATGAACATGCTTATGCGCTCCGCGATATAATGCCGCTAGATGATGACAGCGGGTAGAGTCATAAAAACATTTATGCGCCTCACCGCAGCATCTGCTCACTCATGATCAGCGTTTACAGAGATCCTGCCTCATCATGAGAGATTTTTTACAACACAGCCCAACATGTATAATAGATGAAAATCCGAAGCGGCAAAAGAGGCAATCAGACGAGAAATTCGATTCACGAAATGAAGTTGGATTGGTGTTTGGGATTCGAAGTCGTCTCGAGTCTCGCTTCATTCTCATCTTTACTCGAAAGAGGGGTCTCACTCAGCTGCTTTTTCAGCCGCATCGGATGGAACTCCCCGATTTAATCTTCATCATCCAAAAGCCTCATACACTCTCCATTGAACAGCTCACACAAACTTCAGACAAATTCGCCTCAATTGAAAACTTCACACAATGAAAAAGGTTGACCCGTGTGAAAATCTGCTCATCTCACCAGAGTCACCCATCAAACATGGTAATTTACTCACGGCAATCCCACCGCCAATCGCCCCCCACTGCCTCCCGCCAAACAGCTCAACAAGTCTCCCGCGACGAGACCGAACTCGGCGGTGCGTCCAATTCCCGATTGTACCCGGGGGTCCAGTCCGGATTCCCTCCCGTCCAATCCCACTAATCGGGTCTGAGCCTGGCGGGTTTTGAGAAATCTCTGCGAACTATGTAACTAGTCTCCGAGGTCTACCAATTGAAGCAAGAAGACGGCGCAAATGAGGGGCACGAGGTGACGGCTTCATCGCTGACCTTACCTTTCTACTGGGACCTAGTGTCGCTCAGCTTCTAGACGATGAATGCGACGTGCGTGGGGGGCTCTTACGAGGTTTTACAAGATCGCCTGCGAGTTTATTTCACTCATAGTCTCAGAGCTCACTCATAGTTCGTAGACAATTCCACAATGCTTGCCTTACAACTTGCAGAAGGGGGTCTAACCTACGCGGAACAAACTGCTCATCTATCGCCAAGATGATTTGCTCATGAGATCTTTTTTTTCACTCACTTTCAGACTCATCTCACACACACACCCTCCATTTCAGCCCAGTTCCCAAGAAGACTTAATCTAAAATCATCGTTAGCCTTTTCCCTGCCGTTTTAATCCGCGCATCGGCTACGCCCTACCCTCCAATGACACCGCCCTAAAGACGGCCGACGAGAGAGTTCAGCTCACTCATCCCCCCTGTCAACTCGAGACTCAACTCACTTCCTCTCCTCCAAAAGTAAACCTTTACCATCCCTCTGAAACTCGTCCCATCGCCCCCAGCATTGGGGTAAGGTGACCCCCCGCTCGTCCGCTACCGCACCGTCCGGCGTCCCAGGTGATAAGATCCCGCAAAATGAACCCCGAAAAGGAACTCCTTCCCGCCACCAGCGCCGGCCCCGCGCCGGTGTCCCAAACGCCCGGTCCCGATCCCGACATCGAAGCCTCCCATTCCGCTCTCGGTGCCAGCCCCGATGAATCCCACTACCGTGCCGGCAACGACGACGCCCTCGCCATGGTCGGGATACACAGCCAACCCTACGACCCCGCCGTCGCCGCCCGCGCTGTACGGAAGATAGACTGGTTCCTCATACCCGCCATGATTTTTGGATGTTCGTCACACTCTCACTCTCTTTGAGTTTCTTCTAGTCTTCCTTCATCCTCTCATATGTGCTCACCACCTTCATCATCCTCGATCCATCCCTAACGCGCAACAGACGGCCTAGTCTACTACGACAAAGCAATCCTAGGCTCAGCAGTCCTCTTCGGCATGACAACAGACCTCCACCTCTCCGTGCCCCTCCCCACCGGAACAGGCGTCGACACATCCCGCCTCTCGTGGGCAACCTCCCTCTTCTACTTCGGCATGCTAGCAGGCCTCTACCCAATGACCTACGCCCTCCAACGCTACTCCCTAGGCCGCACCCTCGGCACAATCGTAATCCTCTGGTCCGGAATCTGCATGCTCACCGCCGCAGTAACCTCCTACACCGGCCTCTACGCCCAACGCTTCTTCCTAGGCTTCGTAGAATCCGTCATCCCCACGGGCTTCATGTGCATCGTCTCGGGGAACTACACCCAGGCAGAACAATCACTCCGCCAGAGCTGGTGGTTCAGCGCCACGGGCCTCTTCACCATCATCGGCGGCGCCCTCAACTACGCCTTCGCCCAGGTCCGCGGAGGCGACCTGAAACCGTGGCAGTACATCTACCTCCTCGCGGGATGCCTCACGTTCCTCTTCGGCCTAGCCTGCTTCCTCCTCCCCGACTCCCCCGTCTCGGCATGGTTCCTCACCCGCGAAGAGCGTTTCGCGGCCGTAGAACGCCTCCGCCACGGCCAAACCGGCGTCCGCTGCACGAAATTCAAACCGCACCAACTCCGCGAAGCCCTCCTCGACGCCAAAACCTGGCTCGTGGCGCTGATGATGGCCTCCGCCTACACAATGAACGGCGCCGTCTCCGGCTTCGGCCCGCTCATCGTCTCAACCTTCGGCTACACCTCGCTGCAATCGATCCTCTTCCAGTTCCCCCTCGGCGGCCTCTGCTTCCTCGTCATCCTCGCGACGGGGTACCTCGGCACGCGCTACACCAACGTCCGCATCATCATGCTCGTGACGTGCTGTCTGCCCGTGATAGCAGGCTGCGCGCTCATCTGGCGCTCTGACTGGACGCACCACGCCGCCGCGCCGGTGGTGGGCTACTCCATCACGGGCTTCTTCGGCGGGGTGGTTAGCCTCGTCATCACGCTCGGCATGTCCAACGTCGCGGGCCACACCAAGAAAAGCTTCATGGCGGGGACTATCTTCGCCGCCTATTGCGTAGGCAACATTGTCGGCCCGCAACTTGTCAAGTCGCAGAGTAAGGCTTCGCACTATCCGGAGCTGTGGCTCGGGCTCATCATCTGCTATGTGATTTGCATTCTGGCGTCCGGGGCGTTGTACTACGTGCTCTGGAAGGAAAACAAGCGACGCGATGCGTTGCCTGTGGATGAGGAGGAGCGAGCCAAGCTTGCTTTCCAGGATTTGACGGACAGGGAGAATCCCTATTTCCGCTACGTGTATTAGCAAGACAATACTTTGTCTTGCGTGTTTCGAGAGAGACCATAAAGCACTCATTTGCATTGTGATCGGGTTGAGACTTACTCGTTCGAGAAGTAGAAACACCGGCTGCGGAGAACCAAGCTCACAGCCTAATGCTAATGCGGGATCAAATCACGAAACAATCAAATGTCTGCAAGAGTGCTTCGAATGTCTTCCCGATCGATCCATACATCGGGGTATCATGAATTATGCAACATGAACAGCACATCCCTTCATGAGGATGCCCATCTAGCTAGAAATACAACCATGATAAGCCATGCGCCAGAGCCGGAGCCTTCCGTCCCATTGCTTTTTGGCCGCGGTATGCCCCGTTTCCGTTCGTCATGATAGTTGGCCCAAAATGATGGTGGGCAGAGAAGTAAATACGATCAAATCCCCAGTCATGCTATCAGAGCATGAAGGCTGGTTGCGCCGAACCATCCAAAACGCCATTCTCTATGCATGTGTCTTGTCCGAAAAAAAAAAACGCCGGAAAACCTATCCATGAAAATCATTACTCCGTATCCCCTTTATATCTGCCCACAGCGAATTCCGCTTTCTTCGTTTTGGTGTAAATTGCAGACGCTCGCTCATCTGGGCGACCTTGGAGGGTTGCTTGGTAGCTCTGCCGGCATATTTTCGTCCCCACGCCCGTCGTTCAACTCTACAGGCGAGTGTATGGTGCCGGGTACTGGTGCTGGAGGAGGCGGTGGTTGCTGAGGCGGGTATCCGGGTCCTACAGTTGCGCTTCCCGGTGGTGGTGTTGGGTAAACACCTGGTAGATCCGCCTTGCTGGGCTGCATTGGTTGGACCATGGGGAACTGAGGGGACCCCATCATGCTGCCAGACTGACCCGTGTGCTGAGGTCCGATGGGCACCTGCTGCTGGTACATGCCGTAGTTCTGGGCCGGCCAGACACCGCCTTCGGGGGGCGGTTGTTGCTGAGGTGGCTGCGGAGGCCAATTGCTGCCGGGAAAGTACGCCGGTTGGAAGCCATGGGGTGGCACAGAGTTCGGCGGAGACGGGTTCGTTTGCGAGTGCGGTGATTGTGCGTACGGCTGGCCGTAGTAGGCGTATGCGTGGGGATGTTGAGGAGGCGGGTACTGGCTGTTCCAGTGAATGTAGGTCGGAACGGCGGAAGTCATTTGGGGAGAAGCGACCATCTTGTCCCCTTCGGCCTGGATAGTCTTTTGCGAGTCGGTGGTGCTAGGTGCCTTTTCCAACTTTGCTTTACGTAACGCATGAAGAGCGCGGCCTGTCATAATCAGTCAATGGTCCTTGTCCTTCAAGGCTCTCTACCATGTCAGTAGTTAGGAGATCAAAACGTACCAAAGACACTAATGGTGATAACGAAGAGCACAAGGTTGACGACAGAAGTAGCTGTGCCGGCAAACGTAGCAGCTACGAAGCCATCGGCAAACGGCTCAACGTTCATCTTATAATACACTTCGTACTTGGGACCGAACGTTACGATGAAGGCATCGAGGGAATCAAGATCATCTGCGTGACTAGCAAGCAGGGCCATAGTAATCAACCAGAAGACGACAGTGAGTAGCTCGAGGCCGCTGCGCACAATGTTAGTCGGGGCGCTTCTCCAAGTTTGCGGGGGGATTCCCTACAGATGCACCCAGCAGTTGTACATGACGGGAATAAACATGACGGCTACGCCGAGCCATGTCAAATAGGAGAAGGTCCAGGCGAAAGCAAACCATGAAAATGCTATGCGCAACATTAGTAATGGCACACAAGAGTAGGTAGAGGAGGGGATGGTGGTGTTACGTACGGAAACCTTCTGTACCGCTAAAGGACTGCATCGTAAAACGCAAACAGTCAGTAAAAGTGAACCAGAAGGGAGGGATCCAAGCAGAGGCCAGATCAGAGACCAAGAGATTCTCGAACATACCGTTATCCTGCGATAGCCCGTGGCTTTCTGCATAGTGGTGAGTCCGAAGACTGTTATTCCCAACGTCGCAATGGCGAGGACCTAAGATTTCAAAACCGTCAACGTGATGTTCGTCCAAGTCATTTCGCGTACTCCGGTTTCCCTTTAATGTAGTTGGGGCTAGGAGTAGTGCCCTTACAAGCTGTGCAATCCTGACGCCTGCGATCCAAACCGGCATGGCCGGAACATGAGAGCGGTTCCTCCCATCGTTGGGCCAAATGTTCTTGGTCAAAAAAGACATGGGCGAGGATGCGAGGGGTTTAGACCCCTTGGGTTCAGGTTCGGGAGACTGGGTCCTCGTCGGCTGACCCGGTGCCTCACGAGGAGACGGGGCGTTGTCGGGCCGTCGTGATGGCGGATCGGAGGCAACAGTCTGGAGGTTGGTGAGCGGAATCGAATTGGGGTCGACCGGATCCTCGGTCGCGACGTCGTCCCTCGACGGGGAGGGGTCGCGGGGTGGTGGCGACGACGTCGTGGTGGTGAGATGGGGAGAGCGGTCGTTGTTTGTGGCTAGACTCGAACCAAGGTTGTCGTCGTTTTCGTCGCGAACAGTATGATTTTCGGGATGGGTCGATATTGGGGGCGGCGCAAGTGGTGGTGTATGAGGACCTATGTTGGGCGCGTGGAAGTATGTTTTCGCTGAAAAAAGGTTGGAGCCTGTCGGTCTCGAGGTTTTGAAGTTGGCAGCAACAGTTGCCAGAGGTCGTGAGGTTGTCGAGAGGGAAAAGGTAGGTTTGAGCTGGCGGTAAGGTGAAGCTGGCGGTGGGTGTTGGTGGTGGTGGTATTGAAGGTGCTCGGTGAGGTGCTCTGGGTACCTAGTAGCGGTGGTGTTTCTTTCGCCAATCGACGTCACAAAGGGTGGAATGGCGGAGGCTAAGGGCTGAGCGCACTGAGCAAATGTTTTTTTTCCTTCGTTCCGTTCCTCCAATGCAACAGTAACGTCTTTTTGGGACGGTCAACTGCTCGGGGGGTGTGGATGGAGGGGAGGGGAGCCTGGTACACACTGCGTAGAACTAGTGTACCTAGACGGTAGGAGGGGGAGGGGGGTCCCGGTCCGATCAGGGGAATTTGGCTGGTTCGCTAGCTGGCTGGCAGGCTGGGGGACCTTGGTGCTTGGGAATCTCTGGCGTCCACTACTGTTCGGGTAGGTGTGTGTGTGAGAGAGAGATAGAGAGAGTGTGTGAGTGAAGAGCTGATTGTTGGTCGCTGGAGCTTGAAAGAAGGTTGGCACCGGTGGTCGGGGGCGCTGTGGCTTTTCGTCTGTTCAGGATCTGCCTTTCCTGTCTGTGTCTAGACACTTTGATGTTGACGGGTGGTGAGATGAGTTGAGTTTGCTAGGGCCCGTTCTTTGGGACGAGAGTTGACGTCTGGTCGTCTGCGAGTGGTTTGCTGCTGGTCTAGGACTCTAAGGTAGTGCCGGGTGGTGGGAGGGAGCGGAGAGTATCGGCAGGTTTCCTGTCAATCCTGTGTCCCAGTAAGACTGTGTTCCTCTTGTTGATCTGATCTGGGAAAAGGCCGGCAAATGAATGGGTGTGTGGGCGGATGGAATGGGGATGGGGGATGGGGATGATGATGGATGTGATGGGGAAGTGGTCAATGGGTAATAGGAAATTGAGAGCACGGCTTGGGATTGGAGGGCGAAGGAAGATGGATGGATCATGGACCAAGAACCAGGACCTCGCCAGTCAAGGATTCGAGATACACTACATAGTATACGTACAAGTACTCCGTAGGAAGGTTGGTAGAGGTAAGGATGGAGGCAGATGCGAAGAGGAACAGACAGGAACGAAGCTAATCCATCTTGAGGTACTGAATAGGCACATGGATGGATAGACTTGGAACAGAGCGCAGTAGGTAGGCAAAAGCGCCGAGGAAAAAACCTGATCTGAAGAGAAAAACGGCTGCGGCTCGCTATGCTTTGGGCGAATGGACGAATTGGAGGTGGCCAGGCTTTGCTTGTTTGTTCCGTCACCAGGTTACTGAAGCGTGTCTCCGTACCGTACCTTCTGTGCAGTACATAAAAGATGAAACGGAACACCGCTGCCGGCCATCGACAGATGGAGAGGCAGGCTCACTGTCTTTCGAGTATCCGTATTGGGTTGTGCTGGGCATGGCATCGTGGCCGTGGTGGCATCCAACAGCAACACAAAAAAAGTGGCCGGGGAAAGAGAAAAAAACCTGGAGCCACAGACTTCAATGACGAGAAGTGGATGATCCAATCATCAATCGAAAATAAAAGCGGGTTCCACCAGACACAGCGCCAAGAACAAATGCCAAGCTTCCACGAGGGCCAACATGCCAAGAGGAAGGAGGGGGGGGCCTTTCTTTTGCTGTCTCTTGCTCTTTTTTATTTCTCTCCGTCTCTCTCTCTTTCCGAATATTCTTCTCTCAGGGAAATACATCGACGAGGTACCTGACCTAAGGTGAGATGCCTAAGGTAGTCAGGCACGTGCCAGGTATACTATCATGGCATGGTGTCTCGAATGGCAAGAAACGAGCAATGCAACTGCCCAAAACCAAAGAAACAAAACACACTGTGGAAGGAAGCTTGGGAAGAAATGAAGGAAGTCGGCGGGGAGGAGGAAAGGCGGCCGTTGTCATTGGACTAGCGTCACCGCATGCCCCGTAACGCCAAGCGGCTGGCTGAATTGGGACGTCATGATTCGATAGCCAAACCCGCCTCTTGTGGCAAGTATCTTTTCGGCGTGATCTGTAGCGTCAAGTACTTTGAACTTTCCATCGTTCCTGCTTTCCCGCCTTACCTCTGACTTTCGGGAAAATTCAACGAACCCCACTGAGAAGACGGTCGTCCAATCACCAGACGGACGCATCCTCGGGAGTACGTATCTTTCCGGGGCTAGGAACACCCGGCATTCGACCGTTCACTACTCCAGGTACGTACCTGGCAAGCTCCAGCCGTCTGAGCGTATGATCTTCTCTGCCGCTGTCACCGTCAATTTGCACCTTGTTTTTCCATCTTTCCGCTTCAATTTCTCAATCCTGAGCTCCGCGATTCCCGTTAAGATACCTTAGGGATACTCACCGACACAACTCGATCAGCCTCGAGCATTCAGCATGATCGATATCCGTCCCCCCGAATTCCAACAAAGCTTCCACGATCCACCTACTCAAGGGCCAAGCACTGCCCTCAACATCCGGGAGAAGCTTCAGGTCGCTCTCCATCCCGGTCTGTCATCAAATCCGCTCACCATCAAGCCCATGTCCCGCCTCTGCAGAAGCAATGGCCCATGAGGTGGATGGAGGAGGGGTGGGCCGCATCGATAGGGTCCCGGTCGTGTGCTTCCAAGACCTCTCTCCGCCCAATCATCCTCGATCTCATCCACCCAGCGCCGCCCCAAACGGCATCGCTTTCTGTCCAGGCCTCTGATCACCGCCCCAGTGTGGCAGAGCCATGCACCCGTGGCACAACCACCGACGCATCATGGATCGATGGATACGCAGTACGGACTACGGAGCACACGACGATATCGCGCCTCCAGACTTTCCATTGAAGGCATTCCCTTCTTTTCCGCCCGTTGTCAACCATGTCTCCGCTGCGAACCCCGTTGCTTCGACTTGGTTCGCCGCCACAGACTGAGAAAGTATTTGTTACGGCGTTTTTGCGGACCAACCCAAATTGCGCTCAATGTTCCTCGGATTTATCACGCGGCGAACCTCTTCTTCCATCGTTCCCGATACGAAGTTTGTCTGGCGCAGTGTAGGTATCCGTACGGAGTTCAGAGTTCAGATACGCTTGCAGATACCTACAAATACGGTCAATTTGCCCAAGAAACGCCGCCAAGCACGAGAGCCATCGCGCATGCGCTTGGATTGCTCGCCCTTGAAGACGTCCATTCAGGCTCTTGCGGCTCCTCTAGACACCACGCCACGCCCAAACACCATGTTATTCGCACCAGCACGGATACTACCTAGTGATACCACGATAATCAATAACACCCTATCCCGTAGCACGATGCTTTCTTGCAAATCTCTCTGTGACTGTCACCTCACAAAGCGGTGGAGAGTCAGCAAGGCACATAGCCTACACTAGCACACTAGATGCTGTGGGTGTGGCACCAGAGAGGCGCAAGAGGTCGGGGTGGTGTCCATCATCAGCACCTTTACTCAACGTCTTAGACATGCCTGCCAAGCGGAGAAGAAGAACGTTTTGTTGACGAGGGCCTGGCCGGCTCTGTTGCATTGCCTGCCACAGAATGATTGATATTCTTCTTTTTCTTTTGTGGCTCAAACGCCATGATTTCAGCACTTTGTCACGTACCGGCCCAGATGGCACAAATTGTTACGCCTTCAATCAAACACCAACTGACGAGCTCTTTGGGTTTGTAGCAGAGAATTGGCTACTCGTCACTCACAACTCCTGAAAACTTGAAATTCCGTCGGTTCCGCTGCGCTGCCCACGCCTGAGGGGACCGGCAAATGTCAGCAGGTCGGTCTTTACCCGGCCGTCTATCGGAGTCTCTCGCCATGGTGCGCGGTGTATATCTCTTCCCCACGACCCCTCAGGCTCTTCGTTCTCGTCATGTATCGGTGGACCCTGCAATCCACAAAACCAGAGGTTGTGCCGCCGGGTCAGCAAGGACAGACAGGCCATTCGCTAGAAACCTTCCGCTCCTGTGTCGAGCCAGGCAAGGGATGGGGAGGTGCAGCGGATTGGCCATAGGTCTCAGGAAGACCATTGTCGAAAACGGAACAAAGCGCTGCAGCAGGATGCAGACGCAGGTCACAGGTTGCAGTGGTGTGCAACATTCTCGCACTGGACAGGTCTGCGACTCTTCGCCAAGGTTCAAGGTCAACCATTCCGCCAAGATCGCAAGAGAGCCACCGGATGGAAAGGAAAAGCGGGGGTTGGGCCCTCCAGGAAGCGTGCAAGATCTTCCTGCGTCTCCGCCAGAGGCCTCCGCTTCAAAGGTCACTCCTCTCTCGGGCACGCCGTCTCCTCCAAAGGCCAAGACTTCTGCCCAGCACTGTGGCACTCTCCCAACATCTCCACGTATTCCTCGAATCCTCTCTCAGACTCCGTATGGATACGTCCAGCCAGACTCTCGATTTCTGGGCGTTTGAGCCAAGCTCTGCTGCATTTGTCGCCGATGGATCCCCCCCTCTGGCCACCGTCTTGACCGTCTTGTCGTTCCGTCTCGCTGCCTCGAGAGGTTCCAGATGCTCGATTTCGGGCCCCATGCCCTCCCCTGACTCGGGCCTCCGAGTACCCCTCCACGGCTCCGGTTGACGTTCAAATGAGGCCGGCGCTGTCTGCAGTACCACAGGCACAAGGTCGCGGTTCCTCATCACAGGCACCTGCCGATCCAACGGGCTTGGGCGTGGCACTCAATGGCATCCCGACCTCGCTTGCAATGCTGCCATGATGATAGCATCAGTGCGGAACACCCAATCTTATTTCCCACAACCCGTTGTCGAATTTACCGCCTCCCCAGGTGATCGGGTCGGAGCACGTCCCCTGCCACCCACAATGACGAAATGGTTCATTTCTGTCCCGTCACCAAGATGTGCGAGCAGCGATCGCAAGCAGGCCAACAAGCTCACGTCTCAAGCTCCATGCGGCTGGCGAGAAAGAAGGCATTGAAAAGTTTTGGGACTATTGGTGAAACGATTCAGCAGGCAAACACCCTTCCACCGCCAATGATGTCTATTGCAACCTTTTTGCAGCAGCGTAGAACTAAACATACCACTGCCCCGCGCGCCAAGAAATGCTGCGACCAGCGCAACAACGCACAGGAATCCGGGCACCACACCGGCACTTGATCGCTTTCCACGTCCACCTCTAAATGGTATACCAACATCAGAATGAACCTTGTGTGCGCAAGCGCTGCTTGTCTTTCTGTTGCCCAGCCGCCGACCCAACCCTAATCTGATTCCTGGTTCGATGCCTTGCTCGCCAGCAATGGTGCTCGTCGTGGGAGCTGACCGGACCATGGACCAATGCCCCCGAGATAGCCCGGTTCACTCGATTAAGCTTAAGGTCCAGACCAGGAACCTCAGGCGCTGGCAACGGCAGGCATTTTCCCAACCCCTCGCTTTCATCGCGGAGTTATCCCGAGCTTCCGAAGTGTTCTACTCGTCCGTACCTGATCCCAGGTAATTTGGACACATGGATTTTGCTACTTGGTATTGTCTACCTCGTTCTCGGTTCATATACTCACCATCGTTTCGCCGTAGAAGCGAAACAGGAAGCGCGGAGTTGTCTTGAACAACTTCCACGACCTCAGCTTAAGTGCTACAGCCTGAGATCCAGCGACCTCAAGGCACAGATAGGTAGGTCAGTCGTTTGACTTTTGTTGAGCATTTCCGTGAGATACTGAGCATAATTGCTGCCCGAAATTTTCCATCCTGGATGGCTCCGGGAAGTCGAATCATGTGCCTTGTCCAGACACCCACCGCAAGTCTTGGCACGCACTGATATGGCCCGCCGAGCAAATCGGAATGTAATCGCTCGGAATTTTGCAGGATTAAGTCCTTTTGCAACTATCGCGCCATTTTTCTGCCAGAACACAGCGAGTTGCCATGGTGCGAATATAGCTTGTTGCTATGGAGCACCAAAGCAGATACGGATGATACATCGATGTCGAGTAGTGGGTTTGACTCAATTTCTGCTCTTCACTCAGCCGTGCCTCGCAGGCTAGTTGTCACGGGATGTGGGTGAACCGAGTTAGTCCATCACACTGACCATGATATCTGGAAATTCCTTCAAGTGCAGCCCTACAGGGCGCATCAACTCTGTTGGGCAACGGAATGCTTCCGAGATGAACGCCTCCGCTATCATCCCCAGATGCCGTCCGCTTCACTTTAATCTTCTATCACGCCCCAATGTAGAAGCTGAGATTCGGGCACAGGACTAAAGCAGACATGGGTACATGCGAACTTGTACGCATACTGGTACCTGAATCGTGCGCGTACTTGACTCACAGATCCGCATCGCGGGATTTGCCTGTATCCTCAGTGACCGTAGATGTACCTATCTCGGTGTTGAACAGATACTATCGTTTTGAAGATCTGGCATAGAGTTTGGTACTGCATGATCCGTGATGTGATTGTGACGACGGCGAATGGGGCTTTTGCGAACATCTTGGCCGATCAACGGCGGAGACAGGCCAAAGAAGCAATGGATCAATTTGCTGTATTTTCCCTGGCTTTGGAACGATCAACTCATTCGGTGCTGCCGATTCGGACTGCACCTGCCTCAGTCTATATCACCTGGCTCTTGAATATATCGAGTCTGAGCAAAGTTCGAGTAAGGAGCATGGCGTGCGGATGTTCTCGGTGCCGTTCCGACTCTGGCCTCGACCTCGGGGCTTGCGATGAAGTAGAGCAACTACCGGGACGATGATGGTGCGGCTGCTGATGAGCTGGGCGGACTGGACTCCATGGTTGGTAGAACTTTTACGGGAAGATGCATGTCAACACGATGACATGATCCCTGAGATTGTAGAACCGGGAAGTGTAGTGAATGCTTTTTAACTAGATCTGTCGCAACTGTAACCTCGACGCTTCTAGGAGCGATATCAGAATCATTTGATGTTATCCGCTGAGGCAAAGTATGGTACTGATGCCCGGAATTACAGGATTTCTTCTTAAACATCATGTCCTGGGTGTTCAGTACGACGAACTTGTCAGTGTTCTTCTGTCCCTGTCAGTGTCAAACTTGAACTTTTGCCATGCTCGCTTGAGTGTCTCGATGCTGTTCTCCTTCGTCGCGAACTGATGATAAATAGGTATTGTTCGGCCTCATTTGTAGCATCGCATCTCTATTGACGGCATAGCAGATGGTGATCTTGTGTTGTTGGATGACCTTTTCATCTTGACTATTTCCCTCATGGCGTAGTTTCCAAAATTGAACATAGAGCTTAATGAAATGCTTGATCTATCTTTAACATGTATGAACCCCTGGACGTATCCGGGCAACAGGTAGGACAGTGGGAATGGAATATTTTAGCCTAGGGTGCAGTGATAAAGAAAGCCGCACGTAAGAGGTACGATATCGAAGTATGTCTTCAGAAGATAGATATGTGATAGCTGAGTCGTACTGAGACATGAAGCGAAGATGATTGAATTAAAAGGTGTACGGGCGGAATCGTAAACGCCGTCGTGAAGATAATCGAAGCATAAAACAATTTTAAAGATGCTGGCTAAGTCATACATGGTTCAATCTCATTTTTCCAGCCGTGTCCAATCATTATCCATTTGACCCTCACGTTCATTTCCATCTCTTTTATACCAGTCGCTGCCGATCCAGATTGAGTTGGCCTAATCTCAGGAGGTATAGACGTTGACGGTGGCTTTCAGGAGGTTGCTGAGGGTGGCAGTCACGCCGGTCAAACCAGACTGCGAGGTAGTGTCGATGTAAGGCGAGAGAGCAGTTCCGAGACCACCGAGATTCGTCGAGATCAGCTTGAGGTAATCGGTCTGACCAAGCGGAGCCAACGACGCGACAACGCCAGATGTCTTTGCCTTGTTCAACAGATCCGTGACCGTCTTGAGCGCAGGCTGGATTTCGTTTGTGAGCTTGTTGACGATGGCGGTCGAGTCGGTCGAGTTGAGGGCCAGGGTGAGGGCCTTTGCGTCGAGCAAGGTGGAGGAGGAGGCCGAGTTGAGGCCGATTGTGTTTAGGAGGACCGCGGGGAGCTTGAGGATGTTGGCGACGCTGAGGGTGTTGCCGGTGGTGTAGTCGAGGCCGTTGAGGGTTGTCGTCAGCTTGAGGATGGAGCCTTGGAGGGTGTCGAGGTTGGCGATGATGCTCGCGCCTGTGCTTGATTGGGAGGGGAGATTGCCGAAGGGGAGGAAGCTGAGCGGCACTGGAGTTGCTGAGGATACTGAGAGGGCGGCGAACCCGGCGAGGAGGGAGGAGAAACGCATTGTGGTGTGTTTGTGAGGTTGATGTTGTGTGAGTAAAGTGAGATGGATGTTGTCCTGGGTAAGGTGTAGGGGGCACAGGCGAGAGTATCTTTATTAATGCTTGTCCAAGGCCGTTGCTGAAGTGCTTGAGGGCTGAGAGTTCTCTTAGACTGAAGGAGGACGCAACGTCTGTATTTATTCCCATCTAATCTCACCCAACATCCTCGCCATTTGATGTCACACAACTCGTCCCTCCCGCTTTTCCTCTTCTTCAGCTCAACCTCCTCCGTTGACGAAATCTGGCCCGCCCAAGACAAGTCTATCCGAGACATATCCTCCTCGCTAAAAGAATGTCTCACCGCCGCCGCCTCTGGAAGGGTAGATCTCGACCAGAGGCAGACACCGACTAACCCGAATCTCGGGAGCCTCAAGCCACGGAGCTAAACCCGCATCGCAACAGTTCTGCGAGGAAAGAGGAAAATGATTGGCCTGGTACGCAAGAGGCGGGCAGGGAAACCAGTGACCGAACCGGCCCCCCCTTCCTGTGAGAGAGCCTGCAGCGCCGTTTCCGGGTGTGACGGGGCGGAGGGAGCGGACGCGGGCGGGCTGCTTTCGGACGGCGTCGTCAAAGAGCTATGCTTATAATGCGGGGCCCACCTGTGTTTTTCGGTTCAGCGTTAGTGTGTGACCACACTTGACTGCAGCTGACCAATGTCAGAACAGTGATGATGGGCGTGATGGTGGTTTGAGGCTTGGGATCTGGACGGTAGTGGTAGGCATTTCGTACGGGCGGAAAATGACATGGCTGGTTGTCACACAGGATCTCCAGAGGCTTGTTGCCTCTTGCGCCGGTGGGCGTTTAGATACGGCTGAGTTCCATCTGGTCAGATGGACGTACGTCTGCGCCTCCGTTCCTCTGAAGTTAAAGAGAAAATAAAATAGAATCCACGCAATTACATATCGAATAAGCACACCATTGCAGCATCTACTAATTGCTTTTCAAGACTATGAATTAGATGGAGGCACAATTGCAGTCACCACCTTGTTTCGAGGAGATTGGTGTGAGGGGTCAACTCCAAAAAACTTCACGAGACTGTGCCAACTCCAGTAGGTACAGTCCTACATTTAGGCAGCCAAATGGTGATGAGTAAGGCTTACATCCCTACCGTTACCCTTCGGCATATACATTAATGCCGAGTACGCGATGCGGAGGATCAAGACCCCACGGCTATTTAAATACCCATCGGTGCAAAACTCCCCGATGGGTGCGTGCAACATTGATAGTTTGCTGATGCCTACTGTGCTTAGCACTCTGTTCCTGATCTAATACAGAGCGGTCTCGACTCTCGCGACCAGTGTCTTCCCTGTCTAGATACATGTATCTACGCTGGAACACGCTGGAAATTGGACCGAAGTGGGTTGTAACTTCAGAAACGCGTATCCATATACAACATTGGCAGTCACGTTATGCTGTACATATTACTTGTGATATCATCCGTTTTGGTCACTGAATACTTGTAGATTCCCCTGGATCACGTCTCAGTGACTTGAGACTCAGGTCTAGAGAAAGATATCTATCGTAGGAGCCGATCTCGGTCGAGCATAGACCGACAGGCTGTGTATTAGAGTTTTAGCATGACCAGTACTGCCTCAAAAGCAAGGCTATAATGGTGACCGTAGCTACTCTTCATGATTGAGCTTCGGATAAAAGCATGGCACTGTCGTGAGGGGAATCCGATTACTCGGATGATGCTCGACCGATACATTTTTGTCAAGTAGCTGCCGGTGGGATCAAATTCATGATAAGTAGCCCGCCGCTCAGAGAAACAGAATCGAATGAAGATAGGTCACAGAGGCATAGTGCAGCTCACTCTCAAGCCGTCCGCGCTTTTCTCAACATGGCGCCGTACCCGAAATCTTTCGCTAAGCCTGGGGAGAGGTTTATCTATGCACCATCCAGCACGCCCTTCCAGCATTTGACAGACGAGGAAGCCAAAAACTTTGTGGAACGTGGCTGGCTTCGCGTCGAAAACGCTATCGATCCAGATGTTATACGGCGGTGGATGAAGGATCTCTGGGTCCGTTGCGGGTATGATGCTGGCGACAAATCCACATGGGCACAGGAGTACCTTCACCTGCCCTTCCATCGGCAACTTCGTTACGAGAAGTTCGCGCCAAAGGCGTTTGAAAAAATCACTGACATCATCGGCGGTGTTGAAGCTTGGGATGACGAGCGAGAACGCTGGGTGGGGGACAATTTTGTGGTCAACTTTGGTTCCGAGTCCAGGTCCCGAGAGTCAGACAACGTAAAATTGCCCAAGCAGAAAGGCGGCTGGCATTGTGACAATGACTGGTTCCGACAATTCCTTGACTCCTCAGGAACAACGTTGACGGTCATTAACTGCTTCACGGATATTCCACCAGGAGGCGGAGGTACTCTATTATGCGAGGATGGCTTACGAGGTATAAATCCATTTCCAGCTGTCATAACCCACAATTACGTCTGGTTCAGACTTGATGGCTATTGAACTCTTGCTGACTACTTACCTTACTGCAGAGGTTTGCAAGCGACTTTACGACCACCATGAAGGTCTCGATCCAGCTTTAACCGCTGATGATCTGACTATCGGCGTGCGCGAGTGCGAGATATTCCAGACTGTCGAGGCGAAGAAGGGCGACGTCTTCATCCTCCACGGTCTGGTTCCGCACACAGCGAACTACAACTATCACCACTATGCTCGCGTCATCACCAACACCCATGTCACCCTGAAGGACCAGCTTCATCTGGATCGACCTGACAAGAATTATGTAGGTCATATGAGAGAAGCCATCATGACGACGCTAAGTTTGCATAGACCCTTGCGGAACAGGTCATTCTTCGAGCACTGGACCGAGAGTCTATCCCGGAGTTCAAGCCCACGCGCGAGCGAAAGTTTTGGTACCCTCGGAACTTTTGCTTCAAGGAAAAGAGGATTGAAGATGAGCTGAAGGCTATGAAAGATGCCGCAGCTGCAGAAGGACTGGACCCCAGCAATATTGATAGCATTTGGGTGAGTGAGAAAGCTCGGTCTGATTTCGCGAGGAAGAATGGGTTGTTGTTACCAGTGCACGAAGAGGCTGGATTTGAGACGACGCAGCACTTAATTCAGTAAGTAGAGAGATGTAGCGAACATATAAAGATGTCTATATGTCCCTCAGTCTATGCGGCTAATCTGACAACTTGATGTGGAGATAAGGACTTTCTTATTTCTACCGGCCAGAATCATCAATCACCGGCGGAATCTACCGTTTGGTTCGTACAAAAAGGATATCCGCTACCGAGTGAATATCAACCAGTGATACTTTCAGTAAACGAGTTGTGTTTGTTAGTTCTGGATAAAGATACAGTATAGATAGAATTCGCTATAAATCACGATACTTTTGAAAATATTGAGTGACACAACCATCCAGAACTCATCTACCTCTTTTAGGAATGAGTAGAAGGTCTCGAACTCTTCGTACTGTGTACGAACGCGAGCGAGGTACTCGCAAGGTCGTTTGCGGTTGCACGGTTATTGTGTGACGGAAGAATGGCTTCCTCAGCTATCGGGTTCCCGAGCGGTTAGGTAATCGATGATCGAGGCTAAGGAAGACGTCTTTCCTTTTGCGATGTTGTGAGTAAGGGTTCTTCGTCACCTCGCAGAGGTCGGCACATTCCTCGGAGTTATGCGAGTAGTTCATCTTGCTGTGGTCCAGGCCACGGGCCGAATCATCACAGGCAGGCCTGGACCGGATCGAGGAATGTTACTAGTAAGGGAGGTAATGCCCGTTGCGAGCTCTAAGCTATCTTTTGCTCTTATGGCCGTAGTGTAATTTTACGCTTGGGCTAAGTCGGCTAGTTTGGCTCTTTGTTCAGTTTCCTCGATTCCCGAAGATCTCGGACCCTTTCGCGGACCGTGGTGCACAAAATGACTGTGGCACCTCCCGCTCTAGGAAACCTTCCTCATATTTGTTGATCCATCAGAGGGCGATGACTTGGACGTGACTCTGCCTCTTCTTTTCTTCTTCCACTTGATTCTTCACGTCCTCCATGCCCATCCTTGCAACCTTTGCCTCATCGCCGTCGAAGACTTTGGCGACTTCTTCCAAAGTGAGATTCTTTGTTTCTGGGTAGAAGAAATACACGAACAAGAGATAGCAAAAGTCCAGGATCTTACAGACGAATCAGTTGAGGCAATTATGGAGCTGACTACAAGGCGAGGGTCACTTACAGTGTAGAACATGGCCAGTGTCCATGCATGACCGGCTGCTGTGAAGTTATCCCAAGCAATAGGGTTGGTATAGCTGAAGAACGCGTCGCATATCAGCATTGAACATGAGTTTGGAGCCTCACTCATTATGTCATCTCACCTTCCTAGGACGATCAACCCCTTGACAAAAATAGTTGATATGACGCCGGCCTTCGCCCTGAGGCTGTATGGCATGATCTCCAACGCGTAGGCTGCCATGACCCCGGTCCACGCGATCTGATACGAGAGACTGAAGAGCCAGATGAAGGCGATTTGGGGGTACCCAAATCGGGCAAGGTCGTGAGTACGCTCGAACTGGGAGCTAATGATGGTCCATCCCATGTACATGAGCACCATTCCCGTGGTGGCTGTGAGGAATAGTGGTCTTCTACCAAATCGGTCTATGCACAATGAGAAGGATACCGAGACGACGAGAGACAAGAGCGTCTGGCCGCCACTGAGCTGTTGGGTTTGGAAACGAGCTGTCAGAATACTGCAGATGGAGGTTTTTGCTCAGTGAGGTAGATAGATACTCACCAGAACCTTGTTTGTCTGATCGCGAATGCCAGCACCCTCGTAAATTTTGTTGGCGTAGTTGGAGAAGAGATTTGTACCGCTGTACTGAGACACCATTGCCAGTGAGATCAACAACACAACCCTATACCTATTGCCCGCAGTCCGAACAAAGTCGAAGTAGCTGCTGGACTTTTTATCCTGGAACTCAAGAGCCAACGTCTGTTTCATCTCTCGAAACTCAAATACCACTGTCTCGTTTGTCTTATCCCCGTTGCCGTGGTACGTGGATAGCATGTTTTCAGCGTCCTCGTAACGTTCCTTGGCGACAAGCCAGCGAGGTGACTCCGGGATCCAGTAAATGAGCGAGAGAACCAAGATGCCGGGGAACGCCTGAAGTATGGTGAGCGACCTCCACGACCAGTCGCCCATGATCCGAATGGTCGCTAGGGCTAGCCAGGAACAGCTGGTCGACCCGACGCCGTACATGCAGTTGACGATGGCAGAGATCTTGGCCCGGTGCTGAGGGTGCGCGATCTCGGCTATCAGGAGACCGGCGCCGTTGAATGAGCTTCCGAAGCCGAGAATGAAGCGTCCGGCCATATACACTTCATGCAAGGATCAATAACCGGACTACTCAACGGAACCTGCGACTCAAAAGGCTGACTTACTTCCTTCGCTGTTTGATAAAGCTCCTATAAAAGCGCCGATGGTCTCTATGACGCAACCGATAATGATGGGCATTTTTCGGCCGTACTTGTCTGCAAAATATGGACTATTTGAATCTGGGTTTAGCAGAAGTCTCACACTAGACCGCAGCTTGAGTCTTGTGGTCACACTCACACCATCCAGAAACTGGAAAGAGATCCGACATCGAGAATGGCAACGATGAGGCCGAGTCTTCCCCCTGCAGGATGATTGAAGGAACTCTGCCACTGATCCATGACTTGTGAAGTGTTCATAAGCTTCCTGCATCTCTTCGTCATGAGTATCTTGTTGTGCACTGGTGTTTTGGACTCCATGTGCAAGAGAAGGAGCTTACGCATCGAAGCCTGTCGATGCAGACATCATCATCAAGACACCACACCAGAAGTACAACTTCCTCAGTCCAGGGTCCTTCCACCACGTAACTGGTTCGAAGTCAGGGGCCTCAGACCGGGCCGCTTGCGCCTGTGCATGTTTGGCGTTGCGATTGAAGATATTTCGGGCCATCTTGCCACGAATTCCAAGTAAAGAAGGTGAGTGCTAGAGCAAATGACACAACGTATCGATCCCATATGTTCATCCGTAGAAGAGGGTCATGGGAATTTGCTAGCATTTAAGCTCATGGAGTCGACGATCTGTTGGTCGTGACCGGATGGTAATGTAAGAAGCTGAGACAGCCGGACGCTAGGACTGCCGTAACCTTAAATCATCAGAGCATTCCAAAGTTTGTTTGATGTGCTGTTTTCTCACAAGAAGATGGAAGATGATACATGGGCGAAGATAATTGAAACTGAGGAGTCACGGGAACAAGGGTCAACCCTGTGCGTACTTCGATCGCAATCATATCTGCCATCTCGTATCTTTGAGGCATCAGACGATGCATCGGCGGACAATGGATTAAGTCGCACTGGATTTTGGTGCTTCAGATTCTAGATCAAGAGAATACATGTATGTTCAGTAATCAGATAGCCGACTGTTTACACTTAAGTAATACGACATGCCTTTTATACCAGCTTCCGCTTCTGGATCTTCACCGTAGCATCTCTATCAAGACTTACGACACCTCGACACTCCGCCCCCTCCATGCCCGGACCTCTGCTCGCTGGTGAACCATCTAAACGCGACCAGCGCACAAACTCCATGTCGAAAGTGGTGACCATCATCGCAACCGCCGCTAGAATCTCATGCTTGGCGAAGAATCTCCCAGGGCAGATGACGCTCCCACCACCATACGGACAGTAGTCACCCAGCTTGACTTTGCGCATTTCTGGCTGCAAGAAACGCTCGGCCCAAAAGTCGCGTGCCGGGTGGCCTGGGAACGCCCATACTGCCTCGTCGATGTGTGATAGCCAACTGGGTGCCAGGATGAAGTTGTCCTTCTTGAGCGTATATCCGTCAATCTCGATGTCTTGCCGCAGACGCCGCGAGATGGGGATGCTCGAGCGCAGACGCAGACATTCGTTGTATACGGAGTTCAGCAAAGGCAGAGCCGCTAGCTTTGTGATATCGATATCGAGTACTGATGTCATATTTGTACCGACGACCATGGCAGTCTTCACCTCGGCGCGGATTCTTGAGAGGAGTTGCGGGTCTCGGACCATCTCGAATAACATGTATGCGGTCATGGGAACGGCGTTAGCATTGATGCTGTTCAACGGCAGAAGTTAGCAGATGACCATGGGAGAAAACAACAGGAAAATATCGGGGGTCAGGAGAGATAGGAAGAGACACCACTCACGCCCAAATGAGGCCCATATGCATTGCTGCACGTCCTTCGAAGCTGATACCGTAATCAACAAGTGCAGCATTTCGCTCACGCACAAGCCTGTGACCAAAGTTCTCTTCCCAATCAGCATCGCTGTCTGGGGGACAACCAGCAGTTGCTGCCGCCAGCCAGTCTTTGGTGGCTTCAAGAGTGCGGTCGCGCGCTGCCCAGCCTTTGCGACACACTAGCTTTGGCAGCCCCTGCATAAGTGTCATGAAGGCAGCATCGTAGTCCCAGAATGTCTTGGCTTCCAACGAGCCCTTTTGGAGAATTCGCGGACCGACTAAAGTAATGGTTGATGCAGCGAATTGGTACGTCTGTAGGAAGTCGTATAAGCCGACAATCGCTGGGGCTGATGCGCCTTCTGGACAAGTCTTGAGCTGTTCGGAAAACTCGAAGACAAATTTGGCCGTCAGAAAGTCTACGGCTGACTTTTCCGTAAGGTTCTTGAGGTATATCCCATGAAGTATGTGCCAAATGCGCCCTTTCCCTACAACGCCGGTCTCAGACTGGTTGAGAGTACCAGCCCCTGAGTCGTCCATCCCCAGAAGGGCGGCATCGCTGGCTGGAAGGCCTTTGACCTTGTGTGCGATACGTAACTGCATAAACTCGAACGAAAGACTGCTAGACTGTCGAAAAATTGCTTGAATGTTCGAGGCGCCCATTACGAGGTACATGGAAATAGGACCTAGACGCATGGTCACCGGTCCTTTTGTTGGTCGTTTGGCACTTTTGTTACGGTAACGTCGATCAGCATGATGGCCATATACTCAACATATAGTACTCAAGAATAAACTTACAGCGTTTCCTCATAGAACTTATGAGGATCTCTGATCATCTGAATGCCATTCCCAACCCATGGCAACCAATATGCCAAGGTAGGTGGCTCATTTCCTCGGAATTGGCGGTTCTTCTTGCTGCTAAGGTCAAAACGGCATGATGTGAAGATGTAGGTGCACAAGCAAACACCAAAGATAACCAGCACAAAGTATTTGAAAGCGTGAACTACGGGCCAGGAACTGATCCTGAGTAGAATCAATCTGATTTGATGAGTGAATGGGAACTCATGATCGTCCATGGTGGGATTTCGAAAGCTCGTGATGTTGGCAGGTTGCCGAGTCACCTCGATAACCAGAACCAGCTCCATTTCCAGTGGTCTCCTAATACTTCAGTGGATCCAGTTCTCGTGCTGCCGCGCAGAGGCTTGAGCTTGACGACTTACACACATGCTGCTCAGACTTTGCTGAAGGATGATACATAGTGGCACCCGGGCTGCATGTGATTGTGGTCATTTGCTGTCGAGTAAGAAGCACTGTGTCCCACAGACCGTAAAGGATTGTATTCCCTGCCAGAGGCTTGGATGCTATTCCACCGGATCTGGGTTAACGGCTTCAAAAGTGGCCGAATTGCCCCGAGTGGCATTAGAAGTCATACGGAGCACATCTGTCTCGAAGGATTCGGGAGTACGACGATGCTATCAGCCTTACCAATCAGGTTCATGTCCTCTTTGCCGAAAGTCCGACCCACCTCTGTCATATGTACTTGACATGAGCCATGGGAGCGGTTCTGGACTCGGTAATCCTGGTAGGGGAAGGGACGCGATTCACACGGTGCAAAAAATCGCTAGATGATGTCGATGTAAGGATGTCTACCAAGATAGTAGCTGACATGGGTACATGTGGATATGTGTAATGGCTACACTTGCTGATTAGTGTCAGCGGCCATGCTAGTGGTTCTGCTGCCTAAGACAACGAGACTAGTCTGCAACCCTGCATTCAGAATCACGATACTTGGCATAAGCACTGTGAGCACAGCCAAATGGACCCGCAAAGTCAGTCGCGCCATAATGATGTTGGATTGCACTGTGTCAGACTAGGATTGCAGGGCCTAGGACCAATCCAGGGCACTCCGGATTTGTTGATGATCCATAGGCCCAAATAAGGCAACGCTAGGTTAACGGAGGTGACCTCCGAAGTGAAGGAAGAAAGAATCATCACATCGTGGCCATAATCTGTTGGGCAAGTCCAAAGAAAATCCAGATGGCCACGGGTGAGAGGCCAGACTTAACCACAATGCCAAACAGTTACTCAACTATCATTATCGGCGCAGGAGAATCTGGAATCGCCGTGGGTTGTATGCTCAAGACCAAGCTGGGTACTGACGACTTCCGAATATTCGACAGACAGAACGGTGTCGGAGGGGCATGGTTTGCCAACAGATACCCGGGCGTAGCCTGCGATATGTAAGTGGAATCAGTGTGTCGGGAGGCAGAGATGATTGGCCTTTTCTGATCGTGACGTCGGATCTGACTGTTGATGTAGCCCGGCGATTTTCTACTCGTATTCTTTCGCCCCAAACTATGAGTGGACGACCTTGTTTCCTCCAGGCCAGGAGATCCAGCAGTACTTGGATGGTGTCTGCGACAAGTTTGATATCCACAGCAACATTCAGCTCAACACCGAGGTGTCAAGTGCTCGATGGATTGATGAAGATGCCGAGTGGGAAGTCAAGGTGACCAGTCTGAATCCCGAAGACAAGACTTCAGAAGAAGAGGCTCTCCGGTGTAAGATCCTAATTACATGCGCCGGTGAGCTTGTCGAGCCCAATCTTTGGCCGCAGCATGTCCCAGGAATTGAGTCTTTCCGAGGACAGGTCTTTCACACCGCGCAGTGGAAAGAGGATGTTTCCCTGACAGGAAAAGATGTTGTCGTAATCGGGGCAGGCTGCACTGCAGCGCAGCTCGTTCCGGCACTGGCAAGCCCAGAGATTGCTGCGAAGTCAATCACGCAGCTAATGAGGGGACCGCCGTGGGTTATGGCTCGACCTGAGAAACCTCCTCCGCGTTTGATGGAGGTTGTTTCCACGTTGCTTAGAACCATACCTGGACTAGGCTTGTTTCTTCGGCTTTGCCTCTTCCTGTACGCTGAATCAACATGGCTCAATGTCGGCACGGGCTGGTTCGGCAAGAAGCGGCGACAGTGGTTTGAGAAAAGACTCTCAAGTCACCTGCGGAAGACGGTGCCACCTAGATATCACGACATGCTCACACCACACTTTGGTGTTGGATGTCGGCGGATCATTGTCGACGGTGGATGGTTGGAAAGCTTGAGTCTCCCCAATATTGACCTTACCGACAGACCTCTGGTTTCAATCGAACCCCAGGGCATTGTATTAGGTCCTCGACCAGGAGAAGAGCGCTTGGAGTCCATCGAAGAGAAGTGCCACAATGAAACCATCCAGAAGCCCGCAGATGTCATTCTCTTGGCAAATGGGTTCGAGACTTCGACTTACCTCCATCGCTTGAAAGTGCAAGGGAAAAACGGCAAATCTCTTCACGATGTCTGGCAGGCAAATGGAGGCCCTGGCGCGTACCTCAGCACTGCAGTTCACGGATTCCCCAACTTTTTCATGGTTCTGGGGCCAAACTCCGTCAGCGGCCACTCATCAGCCATTTTAGCAAGTGAAAATGTGACTGGATATGCTCTGAACTTCCTCAAGCTTGTTCTGAGCGGACAGGCCCGTACTGTTGAGATTCAGCTAGAAGCCGAGCAAAGTTACACGGCTGATGTGCAGAGAAGGTCGCTAGACAAAGTCTGGCAAACTTGTCACAATGGCTACATACAGAATGGAGGCTGGAACAGCTCGATATGTCCGTAAGTCACGCGATAACTTCCCTTTCACTTGCTCAATCGTTTAAAAATACAAGCTGACGATTTGGCATCTTCAAAGCTTTAACCAAATCCATTTCGGGTGGATGTGCAAACATCCGATATGGCAGCATTGGGATATTGCATATACAAAGGCTGGAACTCAACAGTACAACTTAGAACTTTCTAGACGTCGAAAAACGGTGTGGGTGATTGCTTCATTCTTGGCTATATTTGCTCTTCTTGTTGGGTATTATGGCAGATTACACTAGTCGCTGGAAACATCTAGACATCAATTCACCAGGCGGAGAATGAACATACTATTCTTGAAAGTAATAATTCGCCGATACAAACGAATGGCTCTGGGCGTCTTACTTCTAAAACTAAGATCCACGAGAAGATACCCAGAGCTGCCCTGCGATCAACTTCTCTTTCTCCCTTGTTCATGTAGATTACGACATCCGTCTGCTTTCTTGAACATACTCTCTAGATCTGACACATCTCTTTACCGAGCCTTGGTCTCGCTTCGACATCGCACTCGCCCCGTCATCGCTTCTTTTCTTTCTGGATGAAACGTTTCTGCCTAAGCCTACTTTAGTCGGGTTTTCACCGAGCTGGGTGCTCTAGTGCCTTGTCTCAGATGATAGCATAATTGCCACTTAGTCCCGCTGCCAGGGCGAGCTATCCATAGTCCGGACTCTCGAAAGCCGTATGCCGAGCAAGAAGAAGCCCAATCAGACAAGATTATGTGAGAACTGCTGCTAAGCGCCAAGAAGTGAGGCTGGTATTTCTGCAACACCCTGCTCATCTCTGCAGGTTCTCGTCTCTGCAGGGGTGAAGTGGCCGGCACTAGTGGGGAGGGTTACAACGCCGTCAGCGCCGGGAAATCCTTCCCAGCGGGCCAACGGGAATCCTACGGAAGACCCAATTCCAGCTTAGTGCTCACAACTGACCGAAAAGATCAAACTTTCGCTTCCTTCTGACACAGTGTCACATTCAGCTAGTTGAATGGGGAAAGACTGTCGTGAAGTTCGTTGCCCTGTATGATGTAATGGTAATCTTTGCAATTCGATGTGAGAGCGAGGAGCTTCGGCATGTGATTTCTTTCCCTTCTGTCATTGGCAGTGAAGTCTGGCAGTTACGTTGAAGGCTGAGGATTCTGAATAACGTCGACAGCTGGTACAACGGTTTCAGAACGCGTGCTCGTTCGTGCGATATCCACGATGAACTCAACAGTCGAACATTGGCAACACCAGTATGGCGTCGCGGGGTTGTCAAGGCTTCGCACCTGGACCTTTGCGCAAGTTGCCGCCTTCGTCGCAGCCATCCTCATACTGCGCTTCCTCGTGAAGCTCATCAACCATCGCCGCATGTTCCAGCGCCTTCAACGACAAGGCCTGCCAATGCCTCCTCATAACTTCTTACTCGGTCATTTAGGGCTTGCGGCTAAGATTGCGAAAACCCTTCCGAGCGATTTTCACGGGCACTACCTGGCGGGCGAAATCAGGCGAGTGTACCCTGACCTCCCAGCTGTCTTCTACCTGGACCTGTGGCCGACCGGTCCACCATTGATGGTGATAACGACAAGTCACGATCAGGCTCGAGTGACGGCGCATGAGCCGCAACTTCCTAAACATGAGGGGGTGTTGGGATTCCTGAAGCCTCTCATCGGAAGCCATGGTCTCGTCACGATGGAGGGAGATGAGTGGCGGTACTGGCGGGGCGTTTTCAATCCTGGATTCAACGCGGCGCATCTTGTGACGCTGGTACCGGGTCTCGTTGAAAATACGCTGGTGTTGCATGATATCCTGCGAGAGAGAGCAGCGACCGGCAAGATCTTCTCGTTGTTTGAGACTATGTCGCGGTTGACTATGGACATGAGTTGTCTCGCAACATTGTGAGTCCAAAATTTCTCAAGAAAAATGTTGTCACTGTTCAATGATAGTTCTAACTTTATATTGTAGAGGTTCTCGTTTGAATGCCCAGAGGCAGGGCTGTGATCTTGTGTCAGCATTTCGCAGTCAAGCCGACTGGATCCCATCCCCCAATGAGACAAATCTCTTCAGAAAGTTCAATCCGATAAGGCACTTGGTCTATCGCTACAATCGATGGAGGATGGATAGGTATGTCTCGAGCGAGTTGGAGACGCACTTCGCTGCAATGCGATCTCAGGCTCAGCTTGGGGATTCCGGACCCGAGAAGACAACGGCAGTCCCAAGAAGAAGCAAGGCTGTTGTCGACCTGGCGCTTGAAACCTATCTACTCTCGGAGAAGAACAATGGAAATTCTGGTCAGAAGATGACTATGGATCCCACATTCAAGCAATACGCCGTCTCACAGATGAAGCTCTTTCTCTTCGCTGGCTATGACACGACAGCCGCGGCGGTGGTCTACTCTATCCATCTCCTTTCGCTTCACCCAGCTGCTCTATCAAGAGCGCGCCAAGAGCACAACGATATCTTCGGAGCCGACAGCACCGTAAAGGAGACTGGAAATAGCATCGCCAAAGCCCCCCAGCTCCTCAATCGACTGGCATATACATCAGCCGTTATCAAGGAGGCTCTCCGGCTGTACCCGCCCGTGTCCAGTACGCGTGCGTCTGGACCAGGCTTCACGGTATCGGAAACTGACAAGACGAATCTTGAAGGCTTCATGCTTTGGGGTGTGCATCACGCTATCCATCGAGCACCAGAGCACTGGGTGAGGCCGGATGAGTTTGTCCCGGAACGCTGGCTGGCCTCTCCTGGTGACGAGCTGTACCCCGCGGACAAGGAGGCGTGGCGGCCGTTTGAGCGAGGGCCGCGAAACTGCATTGGCCAAGAATTAGCCTTGCTGGAGGTGAAGGTAATCTTAGCTATGGTGCTGCGGGACTTTGACTGTGCGGACGCTTACGTCGAGTTCAACAAGACGATGGGCCGGACGGGTCCCACAGAAGTAGCAGGGGATCGTGCCTATCAGATCATCCATGGAAGCACTAAGCCCAACAACGGGTATCCTTGCAGGATCAAGCAAGCCACGAGTGTGTCTTAGGCGGTGATGGTGTTGGACTTGTAGACTAGGCCACGTATTGAACCATGTCTCAAACAGTAAGCTGATCCTCTTACTACATAAACGTTGATTTGTGTGTCCCATGCTTAGCTATCTTGAAGCTTTTGCATCAACATCATTGTCCAGTCTCCCGTTCACACCATTTCCCCTCACTTTAGCACTTGATCGACAAGCAACACCGCCATCATGGCTCCATCATCGATACACGTTGTATTTCCGTTCATCACACTGGCTGGACTCTATGCGGTCTCAAATCTCATGATCAACTCTGGCCACGCTCAGTTATTCACCGATAGGCGAGCATCGGCAACACCCTTACTCCCAGACAACAAAACACCCCTCCTGACAGTCTATACCGGGGTCCCGCCCCTGGACTCGTATCTCGCCAACCTGCAGTTCAGCATCATCCCTACAGTCGATGGCTCGTCCCAGGCTTTGGCTCTGCTAGGGTGGCACTGGATGGGGCTTCTCATAGCCGTTTTCACTGTCATGCTAGTCGAGAGCTTACGAACGCGACGCGCAAGGGACCTGATTCCTTTCGCGCTCTGGGGTCTTGCCATACAGTATGCAGGGTACTTCATCATCATGCCCATATACTGTTATGTATCCCTGCTCTCTCAGTCACCTAGGAAGCATTCAAGACTACCGACCATGGCTGCCATTAAAGCTATCCCGGCATCAGTGCTAATTGGGCTTGTAATCCCATCGGCGATTATGTGTCTGCCAAGCAACCATCTCTCTGGCCAGTCACGACAGGTCGCTGTAGCTGTCTGGCAGAACTTCCCAGCGTGGATGGCCTTAGTCCAGGTGATTGCCGTGTCTTTGGTGGGAGCCATCCCGGCACGAAAATCGGAAGAACGCACTACCGAGGACGGCGAATTCAGCCGTAACATGTCAGCTCTTCGAAGATTGTACAAAGCTACCGCCGTAGTCTCCGCTTTGATCCATGTCTTGGGTCTCGTACCCATTGTATCCGCTGCCATTGGCAAGCTGGAGCCTACACAAGATTCGCCACATGCGCAGCTGCGACCTGCCGACTTTTTCCTGCCGCAGAAGTGGGATACTGAGACCCAGGTAAGTGGGATGACAGAAGGCGCATTTAACTTTCTCCGCTATGACTACTACATCGGCACCGCCGCTGCGTTCGCTTGGGTCATATTTTTCCAGCCTTCGATGCGGGTAAAGGGGGATGCATGGTCGATTGGTAGAGAAGTGTCTTGGAATATCGCTCTCACATGCTTGTTTGGGCCTGGCTTCACTATCGTAAGCCTGATGGAACGGAGACTTGAATGAATAAAGAGTTAGCATCTAGCCAGGCGGAGCACCTGATCCTTAGCGCTATGTCCCCAGTGTGTCAATTCATCCACTTGGTAGTCTTATCTTCGTGTATGATCTAGTCAACGGCCGACGGAGGTCGTCTCCGTCTCGGCACGGGTCGTGTTCGTCTGAACCACGAGCTCGGTGTGGGGTTACGACATCTGGAACAGGACCAAGACCTCCAGAAGCTCATTCGCCAAGCTGTCAGCGTGGGATCCTTCGCCCTTCTCTAGGTTCTATCAGATTCGCACTGTCCGCTTACACGGCAATTCAGTGATCAAACAGATTGTGGGGTTTCACCGATGTTACCTCGCCTTGCATGAAGGATGAGCCCGGGCCGCTGAAGATGCAACTAGATCCTTCGTCCCTTTCTAGATCTCGGAACACACAGGTACGCGCCGATTGGAGCGCTCGCAAGACAAGTCGCGACGCCCCTGTTCACCGCACAGTTGCCTGTATTCAATTCCAACCGTGTTCTTTACCTCAGTCGTGGCTGTCCACATTGAGAAGATCAAGAAGACAGCGCTCCATTTGCGTTACTTCTTCGTTTTTGACACTGCAGTTGAAGCTTGAGTCCTTCGTTTGCAATCAGTTTGCGAAAAGATGTCCATTCTTCGACGCAAAGTGGCGAGATTGGCTCCGCCTACAGTCTTGACCGATAAGGTTATCCCGGTCGACTACTGGGACCATCACTCTCGCGATGCTGTCCTCAACGTAATGCTGCGCTTCGACCGCCAACTGGATGCAGCCAAACTACGAAGAGCTCTGGAAAAATTGCTTGACCGCCGGGATGGCTGGCGCAGGCTAGGCGGGAGGGTGCGGCTCGGTGTAAGTCCCCTGTAGCAATACGAGTCCCCCCCTATGATGCACTTGACTAACTTGAATCCATAGCCTTCGAATAAGCTGTATTGGCATGTGCCTGATACATACACTGAGAAGCGGCCTGCAATCACCTTTCATCACAACCGTCACAACAACATCAGTATCAAGCAACATCCACTAGCATCTCGACTTCGGAGCAGAGTTCCATCATCTTCTGGTGGCTCTCATGGCGCCTCTGTTCCTTGGATGGTGGAGTCAGGCAATGGCGTGGACTTCTCCCCCTTGATGCGACACCCAAGTGATCCTACTTGTTTCGAAGACTATGTCTATCACGATAAACCGATGATAGGCCTACAAGTCACCACGTTCAACGACGCGACTTTGGTATCATTAGGCTTCTCTCATATCATGTGGGACTGTATGGGACTTAAAGATCTCTTTGACGCATGGTCTCTCACTCTACAGGGACGCCATGAAGAGGTCATTCCGTTGATTGGGACCGATCCTCTTGGATCTTTGGGTATATCACCTGAGCCAACTAAAATGGTAACAAAGGACGATGCAAGCAAAGCAGCAGCTTCTACATCCCCTTCCGAACAATACCGGCACATCGATCGACAACTTGGAATTGTTCAACTCGTTACGCTCGGTCTTCGGCAAGCACTCGACAAGCTGCTGAACAGAAACGCGGCTGAGGAGTTTAGGACGGTGTGTGTGCCCGCAGCATATGTCAGGTCTTTGCGCAATGACGCGCTCCAAGCTCTCGACGCCGAGAATGCTAGTTCGTCGGGACCTCAAGGGCCAGAGAAGGGTCACAAGTCTCAGTTAACTCCAGCCACGTTTCTAAGTGATGGTGATATTCTCTGTTCATGGTGGACACGCAAAATCATTAGCTCACGCATCCGCAATCCCTCCAAGAGCCGCAAAACCATCGCTATACTAAACATGATGGGTTTACGTGGCATTCTGGCACAAGCAGGACGATTGCCCGAGAAAGGAGCACTGGTTGGTAACGCAATCTTGCCTATTCCTGCCCTGCTACCCACGCGAGATCTTGTCAGAAACGATCAGCTGGGCTTTGGCCGCGTTGCAAAGGCCCTCAGAGAGGCGATCGCGCAACTTAGCACGAGGCCGCAGGTTGAAGCTCTCTTGGCGCTGCAGCGGCGTGCACATGGGGATGAGGTTGTTGAGAACGCCAACAAAAAGAAAAAGTCGGGCAACGGCAAAGCCGGACTGCCTGCTCTCTTCGGCGATGCGGGCATGCACATGGTTGTGTGTACCAACTGGACCAAGGCCGAGTTCTTCAATGTTGACTTCTCGGCCGCGGCGGTTGACGAGATTGGTTGTGACGGGCTCTTTGAAAACGAGCGTGCGCGCCTTCCTGAGGCTTCATCCAACGATACTGCCGCTAGCAGTGGCGTCGAAATGATGAGCGCTATGGGTTGTGATGGACTCTGGGAGGACGAACATGCGTCACGTCCGTCTGTCGCTCCTCAATCTGATGCTCCTGCTTCTCGTGTGTTGGCAAAGCCGACTGGCGTTCACATGCATTTGATAACGGCGGGTACTCCTGCGTTTCTAATGAGTATCTTTACCATCTTGGGCCGCGATGCCAATGGAGACTACTGGATTCAAGGAATGCTACGGAAAAAGTATTGGGCTAAGATTGAGACCGCCCTAAGTCCGAAGTAAACGCTTCGCTGGAGACGTAAGCTCGAGCAAAGATTCAGAATACTACATAAACAGACACCTTTCGGAATGGGATCAGAGAAAGTGATTATACTTAGTTGTGAGAGTGGAAAAGAGTCACGAACGAGCAAGTACACCTTGATCAAATGATTCAGTCTAGGGGCATGGCTGTGTATTATGAATATTTCTGGAGTAAGGTAGGTAAATACTCGCAATGCCGCGAATGCTTTCGCCGAAGCCGTCTTTTCCACTACACTCGATGTTCAGAGTCTTTAGCCAGGGCTTCCACGGTCTCCCTTGATGTTCCAGCCCGCGAAGTTGACGGAGTGGCCTTCATAGGCAATTAACTCAGCCTTGGTCTTAAAGCACTTGGCGTAAATATTCAGAGTGTTATCATTGGCCATTTTGGTGGGGATGACCATTTGCAGCATCTGCCCGTGTCCCTCAATGTACGAGAAGCGAAGTGTTGAACTCGCACTGAAGCCGAAGTTTGCAATGTACTTGGCGATCACTTTCTCGCCATAACCCCAGAGGTCCTTGGTCTTCGAGCTTCCCCAGAAGCAACTCTTGCTTGTGCAAAATTGCGGGATCCATAGTTTGGGGGCTGCATTGAAGCGGGCTTCATCTGCTTTGAATACGCAGTACCAATTCTTCTTGATCGGCGAGCCTCGCCATCCCGCAGGTTCGGAGCCTATAGCTGAGTTAGGTCCAAAGTACCTAGGTAAGAGGGGTTTGAGTGAGTAGAAGCTATGCTTGTTCTCACCTAAGTAAATGCCATTTCCGATCTGACTACCACCTGGCAAGTTGTCGAAGGCCGGATCTCTGAACGGTTTGTTTTTCTCGTTGATCTTCACCGCTTCTTCCTAGAAGATGCCGCTGTCGTTAGTGACATCGATACAATGAATCCCTATACACGATAGTGTAGGACTTACTTCCGCAGCAGTGCGATATCCAATCACCATTTTACCCTGGGTACCAACGATTAGGTACCCTAGGGCCAACAACAGAAAAAGCCGACTGAAAAGAGTCATGACGATGTCTCGAATCCGAATTGTGACCAGAGATCTCTTGAGAATCGAAATGATCTAACATTAAGACTGCGGCGAAGAATCAACGATTCTTATAAGTATTTCACAGACTGGGACTTCGCCATGATCGACTCTTGGAGAAACGGACTTGCCGTCGCCAAGCTGTTCGGTCTATCTTATCGAGATCGCTGCAATTGAGTTGTTGCGACTAATTCAGGTTGCTTTAACTGTTCTTGCAAAAATTCGATCAGTTCCCCTGAATGACTCAAGTTAACAGATTTGTTCCCATTGCTATAATTGACATGTTATGACTGAGTCAGGTTGCTTACCATGTAGTGTTGTTTGACCCCCAAGCCCCTAACGGAAAATTCCTCGTTAATTACCTCTACGACCTCAAGTACCGCATAGCACTCACCAAGTCCTAGCAATCGCGGCAACACTCTCCACCGTTCTCCGCTCTAGCCAAGACCAAAACCGATACCCATGTCTTGGAGAGGCAATCAAGTAAGTGCTTTACTGAACTTGCTCCAGTATTGAGCAAGTAGACCGGCTTAAGTAAACCCATATCGCGCTTCTATTCTAGGTAAGTGGTGTGACATATCCGTTCCTGTGCTGAGTGGCGATAATATGTACGTCCCCAGTTCCAACAACTCTGCCCCCAGCGTAATTCTTGATTTGAGGATACAGGGCAGAGCGTGGCGTACTAACATCTCATTCTTGCTACGTTACTCTGAATGATTCGTTCTTTCTTTTGATGATGCGATTTAGCAGCCGGTGGGATCGCCATAAAAAACTGTTTTTAACTAAAGGCCTACAGCAATCCAGTGGGGAAGCCAGTCCCCGAAATGGAGACCATCTACATTTACTCCTTCATCATGCTCTTGTGGAATAACCATACATCTGATGAAACATCAGTCATAGTTCCACTTACGTCATTCAATGAACGATATTTCTGGAGATGACTCAGGCGAATGAGCTCAGGGCTGAATACTTCTCCGAGACGCCAACCGCGAGGCTGTCCCTTCCCAAGGAGGCCCATTACATGTTTCTTGACCCTCAACTGAGAAATATGGCTTGAAAATGATTCCAGCTTTATGGATTGTCGATCGGCATCGCCGCAACAAGCTCCATCTTCTTGACTCGCTATCTGCTCAGTGTGACAGGGTGAATTAATGGGAACCGAAGAGTTCGATATTATAGTTTTTCATCGTATGAAACTTGGCTGAAAGATCTTTCTGTCTGATCTGCTTTACTGGCCATCTGAAAGCAGGCGTTCTGGAACTAGTTTGATGCTCTCAATCTCTCTGACAAAGGCAGCCAACACAAACGCCAATCGCCCGAACTTGGATTCTTTTCAGCGAGCAAAATCCCTCTTGGACATTTCTAGGCTGTCAAGGCAGGATTGTTTCCAAAATTATTTCAATTTCGTTCTTCTTTTTGTCATCATTTTGAAAAGTCTCGGCATCTTGCAGGGCTTCACGGTGTCATGCTAGGGTCACTCTTATCATGAGGCGGTGAGAACGCGAACGGAGACCAGTGGATCATTCATGACGCTGTAGTTTCACTTATCAAGAAGGCAGCTGGTGGACGAGGAGGGAATCTGGAGCTATGATTAAGCCCTGCCTCTGGGTTTCTGGAGGCTGTGATCCCTACCCAGCCGTGGATGAGAACAGTAACATTGGGCAAGCAATACCTTCAACCTACGTAAACAATTACTGTCTCGAGCAGCCTCATCCAACAGACTAGATCTATGGCGGAAAAACTGATCAAAATTTGCATAGCTGGCTTGAAACCGAGAGGCGGCGGGAGAAGTGGCTATGGAACTGGCGATAGTTGCCAAGTCTACACCCGCCGCAGCCAGAGCCAGGGTTGTCATGGCACCATGTACAGGTATTGCCCTCCCTAGGTTCACTAGGCCGACAGGGAAAAAAGAAAAAGCATCTCGTCATTACTGAGATAGTATTGAAATTGTGTAGGGTAGAAAGGACTCTAGCGGTGCAGTGCTTTAAGGGAACCACCAACACCTACTAAAGCAACACAAGATACCCCCTTCGATCAGCCTAAATTTGACCCGAATACGGGGAAATAAGTCTCCCGATCAGACACGTTAGAGTAGCTAATCAGAAGGGTAGACTGTCCAATTGTCTTATGTTATCACGTTCGAAAGTAAATTATTAGAGAAAGCTTAAGTTCGATCCTAAAAGGTGTATCTTTGATTAGAGTGAAAAGGTACGCTACTCTCTTGTTCCATATCTGATCGGGCCCTTCCCCTTATATTTTTCCCCGATCGGTCCGCATTATATCATCCTCCGTATTAACCGAGCTTTTAAAAAGAACCGCTGAGATTGATCGACCCATCCCACTCCAGTATGGTAGTCTGAGTTAATCGATGAGGTTTGAAGGAGAAGGATATTACGGGTTTTCGGCCGGTCGGCGTTTGGAACACGGCTGATCATCTGAACTGGGGCACGCCATCCACCCTCAGAAGAATTTCTTTCCGAGGCCCAAGTGTTGGCCTCAGCATGGCAACATATCCCAAGATGAAAATTTATGACAACGTCATCGCGGCCTTCAAGGGCGCCGACGACGAAAACATCATTGACCGAACCCTGATCAGCCGTGAGTCACTGCTAGCTTCGGCCAAGATGCCGTCACCGACATTTAGTATGAGAAGACTCAGATTCCTTTTAAGGACGCCAATTTCCAGCCCCAGATAAACGCCGCATAGCAGGAGGGTTCTTTGCGGGGACCTACATAGTGGTGGTGGATTGCGACCGACCACCTAAACTTGATACTCCGGATGACGCTGCTTTGACTCCCACCTGTGATCTCAAGCCAGAATCCACTGGAATATATGCATATTTGCTTAAATGCACGATTGAGTTTGGTGGATGTACAGGAAAGGGGCTTGAGGTGGAGAACTCGATGTAGCAATTCTTTTTCAATCGAAAGAGTTGTGTGGACATGACTTGCTCCGGCTCATTCGTAAATCTAATTCAGAATTCTATCATCGCGGAACTAGTTCTTCCTTTAAAGCAAAACTTCAATGTTCTTCCATGTAACGTGGCAACCCAGTCACGAACTTTGGCCAAAGAGGAAACCTTTCGCCTGAGGGGTGACCAAGCTCTCCAACACCTGGCTCGTTTCTAGCCAGACCCTCCGTTGAAGTTCCAATCCGAGTGTCCTGCCATTATCAATGAGTATTAGCATAGCTTCTACTGTATTTCAGGGTTCATGATTTTTTATGTTTTTGACGCGGAAGTACAGGTTTCTCAACACTTCTTTGAGACCGTAGTAGTCACAGACTTACCTGTCCATGAACTCAGGGTACCTATGCCATGGCAAAATCATTAGCGAAAGTGCAATATATCCACCGCCGCGTCTAATACAAAAGATCACGGACCGTGTAACTTCTCAGAAAATGAGGGCGACGATCTGAACTTACGGAGCAACATCGTAATCAACCAGCAACTTCCCATGCGATCCTATCAGTGGTAGGCATGAATTCACCACAGTCCGTGCACACATCTCTACGGGTCGACCAATGAACCAAAGCAGCAGCCGACCGATCAAAACTTGTGAGCTGAGTGGCGTGAAACAGGCACCCGGATCCAGCTGGTGAACGTGAATCCTCGGATTACTGCCGGTAAGATGGCGTGCGCAGAGCTCCCTGATCCAGCATGCGTGAATGATCTTTGCAAGCCCATACTGGTAGCTCTTCTGTGTAGCGGCGTCTTTGACATTACTGACCTGCTCAAGGTAGCAGTCTTCAGCATCATCTGGGAGCTCGACCATCGGGGCTGCGGAGCGGATTGCTGCGCTGGTGAGACTGCAGAGCACCACTGGTTGAGTTTCTCCATCGGCTAGCATTTTGGGAAAGAGGAGTAAAATCAGGAGCGCCGATGAAACATGAATCAGTTGCAGTGCTAGATGAGCGTAATCCGTGTCAGAAATTTGACCTCGTAAAGACAGCATTGGTTGCGGTTTAGGGAGCTGAATCTATCAGCTGAAACTCACTCTCTTCCCAGCCATCTGCCGTCACTCTGGTCTCATCATTCATGATAGCAGAACCCATGACCACCACATCGATACGGTTCTGTAAATCGTTGATTCTGGCCGCAAAAGTCTGAACACTATCAAAGGATAAGAGGTCTACTTCCATCACCGTGATTTTTGGCTGTTGGCGAGAGCCCTCTTCGACTTTCCTCATTTCATCAGCCAAGGATTCGCCCTTTGCGACATTTCGGACTGCCAAAATGAGAGTTGAGACACTGAGGCTGGTAATAATGCGGGCCGCTTCTGAAAGGATTGCGCCGGTGGCGCCAACTAGGAGGACTGTCTTTCCTTCGAAGCTCGTCGTAGGTGGTGCAAGGTCCGCCTTTGCCTGTCGGCGGAAGGTGGCCCATGGAAAGACTTCCGAGAAAGGGATTTTGTCTGATTGAACCATGTTGAGTTTACAGAGCCCAGAGAAATGCAAGGAGAAGTTTGCCAGGCCTGACTGAGGTTCAAGGATTTCTCATCATGATGGCACATCAATCTTCACGATGTTCGCTCAGTGAGCAGACCGAGTCACCGAGACATAATCTCTAGTGCTGACAACTGCAGAATACAGGGTGTAGGCTGTATCAAGCCATGATCCATGTATTGATTGGGCCCATACATGTTCGATTAACTGGACCCTAGCAAACACTGTCTCTGGCACGTCTGGGCAAGTTCGTGTCATCCTGCATCTAGATTGAGGCGCTAAAACGACGCACTGTGCTCAAATTTGGTCACCGTGTCCGCGATCTGCACATCCACCGTACGGAGCACATTTCAAAGACACGGAAGCAACGGTAAGGGTAGTCCAGGAAGACAGATATCGTTCTGCATCATGCATGTGTATCGTAGTACCTCAGTGACGGTAGTGCAATCCTTCGCGCGAACTAAGATACAGCGGTTGTGGCTGCTTGGCCGAATCCCTCCGAAGATGATCCCGAAGATGACACCCTCGCGCTGCCGCCTAGACGAAGTCTGAAGTGGATTACGCCCAGACTAAAAAGTCAGGGTAACATTCGCTAATTCCGGCCATCGGGGTTTTCAGCATTACAAACCTGGCCTCACTCTTGCTCCACTCTACCTCTAGTTGTGGCATCATCGCCATCAGCGCGTCCTTCACAGTAGAGGAGCACGGCGCGTCTTGTTGTTGCGCACTACTCGATGCTCTGCAGCTTCACCTCAACGCCGCAATCATCATGGCGTTGTCCGACTTGAGAAATACCTTATTTACTGGCGACAGCAATGGCTTGTTGTGGTTCTTTTTTCTGGGCATCGTCTTCCTTGTCGGCGGAAGCCAAGCGCGGACCAAGTCTGTAGATTCAAGAGAGCCACAAGAAGTGAAGCCCAAAATACCGCTTGTCGGCCACATCATTGGCTTACTAGGGTCGAGGCAAAAATACTATCGTCAACTCGGGTATGTAGAAAGCCAAGTCATTGAAGTCTAACATTCAGTACACGATTTCAACGTGACAAGATGAGCCAAAATACTGACTGATGACATCGTATTAGCCTTGAGAATGCGACACTTCCGATCTTTTCCATCTCGATGGGTGGATCCGAGAAGATATACATCATTACGGCGCCGCAGCTGATCCAGGTTGCAATGAAAAACAAATCCTTGAATCTTTACCCGGTGATGGCGGAGTTCGCACAGAAGATGGTCGGTCTAGGACCAAATGTCATGGACTTGTTCCACAATCCACCAAGCGATGGCTCTGTCTCGTGGATTGAGGACCAACATCCATCTTTTGCGCCCCTGGCTCCTGGTCCTGATCTACAGGAGATGAACACCTACGTCCTAAACAAGATCTCGGAGACCATCAACTCCATCGGACCTGATTACGAGACCAAGAAGCTGTACATGTGGTTCAGGGACTCCTTCACCATGGCCACAGTGGGCTCCCTCTTCGGCGACAAGAACTCTTTGATGCAGGATCCGACGTTGAGCAAGAATCTGTGGTAAGTTGCATCTCTCAGGCTCTCGAGTCCCAGGGATTGACTGCTTACAACGTCAAATAAAGGGACTATGATGGTGGCCAAGCGGAGTTACTCATGAAACCGCTACCCTCTATCACAGTATCAAAGGCATACAACGGCCGTGCCAGGGTGCAAAAGGCTCTCCGAAAATACTTCCGCGAAGATTATGATCACATCACCGATGCCAGCAGTGTCGTCAAGCGGCGCGTGGCAGTCAACCGAAAATGGGGTCTGCCCATTGACGACATCGCGGACCACGAGTTTGGAATGCTCTTTGTGAGCGTGACTAATGCTATCCCGACACTCTTCTGGATGATGTGTTATGTGTTCTGCGATGCCGATCTTGTTGCGGACTTGCAAAAGGAGCTTCTTGCCCTTGCTGTGATACAGCAGCAAGACAGCGATGCTAGCGGGAGCCGCCCGTCTCGGAAGTGTACTTTCACCGTTGCCAAGTTCCGTACAGAATGCCCCTTGCTGGTGTCTACTTACAAGGAAGTCATGCGCCTGACAAATCGCTCGACGGGTACACGCCGTGTCGTGGAGGACACATTGATTAGCTACACACCACCCGGAGAAGGCGGCGAAACAAAGACCTACCTGCTCAAGAAGGGTGCAAACATTCAAATCCCTGCCATCATCACCAACTTTGGCCCCGACGCGTGGGGCGAGAATGCACACGAATTCAATCCGCGGCGGTTCATGACCGCAGACAGAGAACGAGAGCGGGCGCAAAACCGCGCCTTTAACCCTTTCGGTGGCGGTAAACACCTTTGTCCCGGACGTTTCTTTGCCGACGCGGAAATATTGGGGGCATTGGCTGCGTTGGTGCTAGGATTCGAGATTGAAACTCCGGCTGGTGACAGAATCGAAGTTCCCCAGATCAATAACAACCTGGCTGAGGCTGTTGGAAAACCCTTAACGAGCGTTCAGGAGAACATGGAAGCGAGGATTCGGCGGAGGCCAGGCTGGGAGGATGTGGAGTGGGCGTATATCGCGAACAACGTGGCAACTTAGAAGGAGTATATTGTTCACAAGGTGCGCCGATCATGCCAGTTTGTCCAGTTTGTTGCAGTTCTTCGCAATATGAGGGTATGAAATTCGGCTTTATTGACCTTTGACGAAGCCGTTGCGGTCCCGGGCCGGCGTCATTCGCGGAAAGCCGGTGAGGGGTCGCCGCGGAATGCTAGCCGCGGAAACCTTCCCGAGCCGCTTATCGGCAAGGGAGTAGCAACACGGGAAGCCGAAATGGCACGGATTTCCGGGCTTACCTAACGCGTTTTCTGTGAAGCTGCATCATATGGATCTTTAGAACTGCAAATCTTCATGTGTGTCCCCCATAGATTCACACTTCCTCTTCGTTTGCCAACAACTCGACGTTCCTTATTACTTTGCAGAATCAATGGTGCCAAACCCAAGCCAGGCACTTGCCGTCATTCCGGGCGATGCCCAGGGCCAGGTCATATTCTCAGATGTCCCGCTCAGCTTCATGATGGGTGTCGACTCAAAGACTGGCATCGTCGCAGATGCACACCATCCCCTCCGCGGCACATCTCTCAAAGACTCTGTCCTCGTCATCCCTGCTGGTCGCGGATCCTGTTCCGGCAGCAGCGCAATCGCAGAGCTGATACTTTGCGACAATGCACCCGCAGCCCTTATCTTCAGGGACGTGGAGATGATTCTCACCCTGGGAGTTTTAGTTGCCGAGAAGATGTTTGACAAGCGCATTCCGATTGTCTTCCTTTCAGACTCATCGCACTTCGAAGTCTTCCGTCAAGCTTCGACAGTGCAAATAAACGAAACGAGCTTGTTGGTTTCACCAGGCGGCCACAAGATTGACTTGGTGCCACAATGCGTAAAGGCATTAGAGTTGAATCCAACAGACAAAGCCATCTTGTCTGGCGAGAGCGGCGAAGCTTCTCGTATCGCAATGGAAATCATCGTAAAGTACGCCACGATACAGGGGGCACAACGCCTGATTGATGTTTCTCAAGTCCATGTGGACGCTTGTGCCTACGTCGGCGAAAGCAGTCTCCTCGTCCCTGAGCGCCTGCTCTCCCTCGGAGGAAAGTTTGTCGTACCATCGACCTGCAACTCCCTGAATGTCGACCGGCAGAGGTGGAAGGAATTGGGAGCCAATCCCGAGATCTCTCAAATATCTGACAAGATTGGAGAGACGTATCTCAGGCTGGGCGCCAAGATGAGCTTCACCTGCGCTCCGTACTTGCTCGAGAGTAAGCCTAAAGCCGGAGAGCAAGTTGGATGGTCTGAGTCCAATGCCGTAGTATTCGCGAACAGTGTGCTGGGAGCACACACACAGAAGTACCCTGATTATATGGACGTTTTCATCGCATTGACCGGAAGGGCTCCTTATGCCGGGTGTCATGTGCCAGAGGGCAGGAAGCCGGAAGTCATAATCAAGGTCACCCAAGTCAGCGCATTTGATCCATCGTTTTTCGCTCTTATTGGCTACAGCATTGGACATGTGGTCGCCGCCAAGATCCCTGTTGTCATTGGAATGGAGACGACACGACCGACCATATCGGATCTGAAGGCATTCGGGGCGGGGTTCGCAACAAGTTCGTCTGCTCCCATGTTTCACATCAATGGCATCACGCCAGAGGCTGCAAGTTTCGGGGATGCACTCACCACTCTAGAAACCATCGAGGTGACGATTCCTGAACTTCAGTTGGCTTGGAGACAGCTCAATACGGCTACGGATCCTTCTGTCGATATCGTCTCCCTAGGAAATCCGCACTTTTCCCTAGAAGAATTCTCACAACTTGCCGAAGTGTGCCGCGGCAGACACAAGTCACCTAATGTCGAAGTCATGATCACCACTAGCCGTGAAACATACACAGAGGCCCTGAACCTCGGCTATCTAGACGTTATCGAGAACTTCGGTGCCCGGCTGATAACGGATACGTGTTGGTGCATGATAGAGGAGCCGGTCGTTCCTCTGAAAGCAAGAAACGCTATGACAAACTCTGCCAAATATGCTCACTACGGTCCGGGGATTGTGGGTAAGAATTTTCACTTTGGAGATGTTGTCGCGTGTATCAAGGCGGCAAGTAGAGGCCATAGACATGAAGACGAGATGAGCCCGCGGTGGCTTTTCCGGTGACCCAAGGACATTCGGGATTACTCGCTCTGCATTTAGAAAAGTTGAGTAGAAAGATATCATAATCAAAGTTATAGGACCGGAGGTCGTAGACTGTCATATGCACTACAAACTTGAGCCCAGGTTGAACGACTGCAAATGCAGCAGTCCTCGTTAAGAAAGTAGGTTGAACAAGTATTGTCTGTTGCCGGAAGGTTCTTCAAGCACCAATCAGAGTTGTCCCTGACGCCTTATGTATCAATTCACTACCGAGAGCGTCATACCTAAGGAAAGGTCGGTAGTCGCGGAGGCAGATGATCGGTATTTGCACGCAA